AAACTCTACCTTGGAATTTTCTCTATAATATAGTTCTTCTATAAATAAAATGTATTCATTTTCATTGCTATTAGTGAATAAAACAAAATTCTCTACATTCAAAGATTACACTAATGCAAATATTACATAAATGTAAAAGGAGGTATATAATCCAAAACAAAAACAGTAACTACAACAAAAAAGCTCAAGTAATTTCAATTTTACTTCATGGTAAAATTACAACAGACTAGAAAAATATCTACCTCTGTGATAAAGAACAAAAAGCTGTTCTCCATGTCCTGCCATTGACACCACAGGCCCAGGAAGGCTGAAGATCTCTTTCTGAACACCTCCAATAGTAAACAATCGAAGGAGCAAGGCACTAGTGGCAGCAGCAGCCCATCCCTGACCCAGACATATGGCTTCAATATCCTCCTTCTGAGGCATATCTATTATCCACTCTTTGCTTGAATCCCAAGAACTAAAGTGCAGGCAGTGAAGCTTACTAAAAATTAAAACAAGACAGAAACAATTAATCAAACTTTCATAGGTAATATTTACATATAACTAATCATGATACCCAATAACAAAACCAAATAGTTTATTTTTCTATTATACATTACTAGTACAAGAAATTGCCTTAAGAAAGTAACTATGAAATATCCTTAAACTATATCAAAACCATTAAAAGTCATGTTTTTGAAGAATATTTAAAAATACAGGAAAATGCTCACGACATAATGTTAAATGAAAAAAGGCAGGCTAAAAACTGTTGAGTGTGATTTTATATTGTAAATGTACACAAAATCACAACTAAGTTTTAAAAAAGGAAGGAAGCATCAAAACGTTAAGCAACAGTTCTTTCATTGCAAAAAAAAAGTTAATATGGAAGAATAAAAAAAGAAAAAAACACACACATAACACCACCAGTGAGATTTAGTCTTTCATCTTTGCACATGTATATATACATGTAAGTTATTATTAAACACAAATTCTTTAAGCTTCAGAATGTAGATACCATATTTGGAATCAGAGGAAGTAATGACTTTCTGAACAGTAATTTTAATATTCAATTTTAAAATGAAAAGATAACATTGTATATGCCTGTGAAATAATATATTCGAAGAAAACAAAGAGGATTATCTAGAATCAAAATTGCACATAGAAATATTCTCATACATGAAATTCTGAGTTAAGAGACACTGAGTGAACAATGATTTATTTTACTAAACTGATTTAATTCAATAATGAAGTATTGAGTTGATTTTATAATGTGTAAATTAGGAGACCAATTAAAAAGTTAAAATGACATAATATAATGTTTCTCAGACTTTAATATGTCCTCAATCACATGAGGACTTTGTTAAAATTGCAGACTCTGATTCAGAGGTTTGGGGTGGGGTCTGAGATTCTGCACTTTCACCAAGTTCCCAGGTGATCCATGCCCCTCGTTTGTAAACAAATACATCCAATCAGAAAGATTTTAATTGCAAATCACCTGGGACATAGTAAAATCCATTGAGTGTATCAGTACTATTATCAGCTGAAGGAAAAAGATTAAGAGAGGGCAATCAGCTATAGTAACACAAAACTGAGAAAAATATTTTTTCTTAAAAAAATGCATTCTGCATCCATTGCTTTTACATCATATTTTTGTTCTGCATCTATCTATTAATACCTACCTACCTGTCAAATATGTAAAGAAGTCCAGAATACATTAAACAAAAAAAGCAAATTGATAAATAGCACGTTTTTGGGTTTGTTTTTCCTTTTTGTTCTTTTTCAAAGAGAAGTTTCAAATCTAATCTACAGTGACAAAAAAACCAGATCAATAGTTGGCCAAGGCTAGGACTAAATTAACTGCAAAAGGATGTGAAGATAAATTTTTGGGTGATAAAGAAGCAGTCTGTATTTTTGATTGTGGTAGTGGTTACCTGAGTATACATGTTTGTCAGCTCATCAAACTATATATCTAGACTGGGTGCATTTTATTACATATGAATTATACCTCAATAAAGTAAATTAAAACAAGGGCGGTTCATAAAGAAAGAAATCTAGAAGGATACATATCAAATTGTTAACAGTAGTAGAGTAGAATTCTGGGGGAACTTTCATTTTCTAAAATTTCTGTGCTGCTTTTTTTTTAAAAATACAATGAACATACGTTACTCTTATAATACTAATAAGAACACTAACAATATAAAAAAAATTCCATTTCTCTTGCATTACAAATCGTGTCATATCATTTTGATATGTAGTTAGAGAATGCAATAATGGAAAAATAAGGGCAAAAACAGACATTTTCTGAGGTACTATGGGTATACTGGTATTTGTACCAAACTCTTCTTTCTGAAATTTCACACTACAAAAGATATGATTTTGCTTTATTAACTTATTGTCTTTAATTTCAACAATTGTATCTAATAGTTCAACAGTGCCAAGCTCTTCCCAGTAATCTTGAATTTACCTTGCTAGGTCATCAGTGCTTTCACATGCCAACAAAATAGCTTCATGGGAAAGATCTGCTATTGTATAATTCAAAGTGTTTGATAGGTGTGTTGCATGGTGTATGGAAGTATCATGGAACTCCACATCTATGGCATTGTCTTGCTCATCATTATAGCAGCGAATAATTCCAACAGAGTTCCACACCTACAAACAGGTTAAATATAAGTTTAAGAAAAAGTGAAGCTCCTAGAATAAGTAGGTATAAATTGACAAATCTTATAATTCAGTTAGTATCAAGATTTAAGTTATGGCCGGGCATGGTGGTTCACGCCTGTAACCCTAGCACTCTAGGAGGCCAAAGCGGGAGGATCGTTTGAGCTCAGGAGGTCGAGACCAGCCTAAGCAAGAGCGAGACTCCGTCTCTACTAAAGAAATAGAAAGAAATTAGCTGGAAAACTAAAAAAATATATATATATAAAAAAAATTAGCCAGGAATGGTGGTGTATGCCTGTAGTCCTAGCTCAGGAGGCTGAGGCAGGAGGACTGTCTGAGCCCAGGAGTTTGAGGTTGCTATGAGCTAGGCTGACGCCACAGCACTCTAGCCCAGGCAACAGAGTGAGACTCTGTCTCAAAAAAAAAA